GCAAACCACTTCTGAAAAACCTTGCCAAGAAAACTGCAAGGATTTGTCCAGGCAGTCTCCAAGAATCAGACATGATTGAATGGGTTTTAAAAAAATAAAGAACACTTGCACCCGTTTTTTGCTTTCAACCACTTATTTAGTTCTTAGTAGGGAATGTAAGAGGGCAGGGAGAAAAACTAAAAAGTAGAGTCTTCCTGCAGTTTCTTGACAATAATACCACTGCCGCCTTCTGAGATTTTTTTACCAAAGTTCCAGTCTAGCCTACAGCCCTGGGATTTCTTGATGGTCTCCCTCCCAAGTACCATCCAGAGCAGATCCTGCTTTGCTTTTTGAAGATTAGCCAAAATCAGCCAGCACTTTCTGAGATATTTGAGGGGGGAAATGCATATATTGACTTTCCCCCCATCTTTCAGTTATGGCAAGTGCTTTCAGAATTGTCCGGGAAGTGGTCAGGATCCTCACTCTGCTTGTATTCTGGATATCTGTATCTTTCCATTGGAGTTGCTAGCAGTGTTGGGTTGGTTGTGATCAGAGGGAGTCCTTCTTCAACTCCTCCAGCTCTCAGTAATGAGCATGCTCCTTGTGCTCTCTCTCCAGCTCCAATTTTTAGAATCTTGCTCCCTCTGGAATTCCAGCTCCGTTCTTTTTAAATCTCTTTGGGTAGCTGCTTTGATTTCCAATCTCTTCTGTTCAGGTGGGTCAATGGCTCCGCATGGGGTGACCAGTCTCTGACTCAACAATCTCAGAATTTGATACGTTGATAGGCCAAGATGTCTTCCAACTTCACATTAGCATAGAGGAGAGCTCTGCCCCCTAATAGCTATTAACCTAGCTAACCTATCAAACCCAGAAACTAAAATTAAAAAATAATTTCTTGGTCTGCAAACCCCAATATTCCCTAATAAAAAGAATGTAGAAAAAGAAGTGGGGGGGGGGAACAGAAAACAAGTTTGCCTACCTATGTGACACAGGCATAAACAGCAACGTCCTTTTAAAAAAACTTCCAAACAATGAACTCTAATTTTTAATATGCTTCCCATGCATCTCATACCACCATGTAGTGGCACACTAAGCCTATAGGGTGAATAATTACTGGTCTCAAAACTACTGTCCCAGAAGCCCTCTGGATTTACACACCCTAACTCTGCCTCCTGCCTTGGTGATAGTTACTGCTGTCATTACCTACAGTATCTTCCAGGAAGGCTCCTCACCTTTCATTCTCCTCCTAATACCAGGTATGTGAGACAAAGATGACTCTTGAAACCTTTGTTGCTTTATTGGCAAATTAAAAGGAAAACAAAATGAAATAAAGTCAATAGCACCACATTCTGGTCCTCCAGTGTTGTGCTAGAAGAATCAATCTTCTTTCTGTCTCTCCTTTGGGAGATGAACCAATCTCACAAGAGAGAAATAAAATCAAATTTTATTTTAAAAAAAAGGTGAATGTAAAGAATCCCTTTTTAGCTTTATATACGTGCAAAAATATTGGCAAAAGAGCTAAAAATATAGAGCTGTTCAAATCTCAGCAACTGGAAAGGAACTCCCATAGACAACTTTAAAGGAAAATATAAGGCTTTGGGCAGACCATAAAATTGATCTGCTCCTAATATAGAGGTAGTTCTGCTCTAAAGAGATTGCAAATTGCATGGAACACACAAATTACTGAGTTTGTACAAAGGACATCAGTACAAGAGACAAAATATTAGACTTTAATACTGTTACAGTAACAGAAATGAAACTTAATGTGTAATTCCAACTAGACTTGTCACCTATTTCTTAGGATCATCTAATGCCTGAGGCTAGAGGCTGCTTGGACTTTTTCCAGGTTCTTGTGGATTTTCCTTTATCAGGAGTTCAGGAAGATGTTACTTTTCTTCTTTTCCTAGTCTCAGCACTTAGCTTCTTCTATTGTTATAAAAGACAAACAGTTTTTCTCCCTAGCAGAAAAGGAAATCTCCCTGCATACCTGATCTCCAGGCTTGCCACAATAGTTTAGTCCATACCACCATATGCTGAAAGCAAACGACACATTCTGGCTTAGCAGGAAACATGAATCTGATTGGTAGGTTAAGCAATGGATGTCCTGAGCAAAGGCTTTTTAAAACTTGGCAAAACAGCAGTTGATTCGGTGCTGGGATTGCCTTTGGTCAGGGATTCACAAGCTTTGTAGTCCTGCTGTCCTCTAAGATGATAAATGATTTTGTGTGATCCCTCTCCTGAATAAAACTAAGTAATAGATTTTAGGGGGTTATTGCTATGGATATGTGTGCTTCCCCAGGCACAATATGTTTCAGTTTTGTTGATGTTTTATTGTTGATTCTAACTTGCTTTTTGTTGCCCAGAGTCAAAGGTCAAGCGGTGGCCATACAAAATGAATGAATGAATGAATGAATGAATGAATGAACGAACGAATGAATGAAACTGCTGTGACTGGTGCATGTTTTTGATGGACAGGTTTAGCTACTTCCTAAAAGTCACTCAGAGTTTTGCTTCCCACTTTGCCTGCACAAGCCTGATAGCTTAAGAAATGTTTTAACCTTCCCTTTAAACTGCTGAAACTCCCAGGGGGTCATGACCCACTGTTTGAGAATCCCTGCCTTAGATAATGAGCACCAGCAACTTCTGTTCCTCCTCATTTGTCAAGGGGATCCCTGAGTACATAACCAAACTCAGGCTAAGCTGGAGCTGGAGAAAAGACAGTAGATTTGGTTTTCTCCATTAAATTTCAGGGCATTAACTGTTCCTCTCAAAATCTTATAGGTACCAAATATCTGCTAAAGGGTAAGCACTATGAACCTATAGTCAGCCTGTGTATGACTGTAAAGCTCATCAGCTCTAAGGACTTCCTTCCAGGAATTGAACCTTAGCCAATTCCTGAACTTCCTCATTGCTCAGAAGTGGGGTGTATGCATATGTATCTGTGTTTGCAGTTATGGGAGCGGTTTTTAATCGCATTGAAGGCTTGGTCTACTATGAGCCATGACTGCCATGTTCCTTCAAAATAAAATGTACCTCTCAGTAGGAAAAGACTGGTGGAGCACCAAAAAGCAACAAGATGCTTGCTGTGTTCAGATGAAGCAATTGCTTTACATTCTGGCCTTCTCTTTTGTCTTTCTACAGCTTTGATGTCGAGAATGGCTTCTCTCCAGGACGAAGTCCCCTTGATTCCCAGGCCAATCTGGGTCTGGGACTTGTTTTACAAGGCACAACCCCCCACAGTCAACGTCGGGAGTCCTTCCTCTACCGATCGGATAGCGACTATGACCTCTCCCCCAAAGCCATGTCCCGCAATTCGTCTGTCAGCAGTGACATGTAAGCAAAGAGGGCAAGGATTTTGTCAAGCACATGGGTAATTCTGATGCATTTCCTGTCTCTTGCTAGCAGAAAGTGCAAGGCACAGAAGCCCACTTCTTTCTTTTCCACCTTTGATATCCTGTGTTACATGGAATTTCTGGGTGCTCCTCTTCTGACTGTAAACCAACCACACTGATCAGCTTGTCTCCTGGGGACAACACTGTGTCTTGGGACATTTGCAGTCTGGCTGCCATGAGAGTAGTTATCAGTCTGGCTGGGATTAAAGAAATATTGCAGAAAAAGAATTCTGTTTCTTCAGATGAATTTGGAGCTAGAACAACCATCCTCAGCTTCCCATTCTTCAGCTTTTCTGTTTGAGAACAAGCCCTTGTCAGGCTTAATGGATTCCACACAGGGCAGTGGGACACAGTCTTATGAAACAGGTACATTGCAGGTTCTGATCCTTGCAATAGTCCAAACAGGTTGCTGTTTTCAACTGGGATATATTGAACGGTACACCACAGTGTGGAAAGAAACTCCCAAGGCCAGCTATATTCCAGTGCAGTTACTCCAGGTTAGCTGAGGACAGGAACATAATCTTGATAGGGCACTCAGTATGCCACTTCATGCTGTGTTCAGAAATTTGCCCACTATTTGGGCTTTGTAGCCATTAACATCCTTCTCTTCTCCCCTTGCAGGCATGGAGAAGACTTGATCGTTACTCCTTTTGCACAGGTATGCCTCTCTCTGGGGCTGGAAGTGGTCAGCACTTGCCAATGTAGGCTGGCTGTGCCCCTAAGCCTGGTTAAGAACATTTTCAGAACCAGAACAAGATATGTCCCTGATGCAGCTTTCCCCAACCTGATGTGTTAGGCAGTGTTTCTCAACCTTGGCAACTTTAAGATATGTGGACTTCAACTCCCAGAATTCCCCAACCAGCTTACGTTTAAGTCCACATATCTTAAAGTTGCCAAGATTGAGAAACACTGTGTTAAGGGCATGGCCTGATGCCCTCCAAGTCACTATTGCTGTGAATTGTAGTCTCATATCTCTAGAAAGCATCAGGTTGGGGATGGTTGTCCCTCATGGAAGCTGATAAGTACAGTAAAGTGGTAACCATTGTATGCTGGTCCTCCCTAAGTCAGTAGACCCTTCCTTACCTTTAATTATTTTTTGAACTCTTTCTAAAAGCCATTTGACTTGGTGGCCACAGTCACATATCACAGCAAGATATTCTGGGAATTAATGCTGCATAATTGTTTTTTTCTCTGTCCTGCATTTGCTACTCTTCCTTACCCACCCCCACCTCCAAGTATATAAAAGTGCAAAAATAATGAATCTCTCTGCTTCCACCATGCTATGCATAGGTTTTCAAGCTTCTGCTCTGTATCCCCTTTATATCATTTTTCTCCCTATATAAAGATATTGACCTTCATGCTGCCCTTAACACACATACCCTACATATACAGTTTGGGCCTCCCACATCCCTCCTTTGGGACATCTCGCTGCTCTTACCTAACAGTATTCTGCAGGAGGAAAAGGGTTTCATTCTTCATTCAGGTATTTTATAGGGAAAAGTTATATGAAGGGAGGTGCTGCTGGGTGTTTACATCCTGTTTGAGCCAGGATTGTATAACCAGGTCAGTTAAAGAGCATAGAACCTGCTATACTTGGTTAATTTTAACCATGGCTAATTTTGTGGCCCAGTCTAGTGTAAGCTTAATCTTTTGTTTCATTTATGGTTCACTGTAGGAGGCAAATCCAGAAAGTGGGTTAATTCAATAACTGAAAAGTATATTATGCAAATCCAGTGAGTATTCATGTGAGAGCAAGAGCCACTATACAGTTGATTCTAAGGGATGTCCTTCTTCCCCACTCCCAGGTCCTGGCCAGCCTGAGGACAGTTCGCAGCAACTTTGCTGTCTTAACCCATCTGCGGGAACATGTCTGCAACAAGTGAGTGAGAGGTTCAGGTGGGGAATGAAGGAGTCATGTGGGGCTGAGCTATTAAAGGATGTTTTTTGTTTTTTGTTTTGGCAAAACTGTGCTCCCCTTTGGCATTCAATCAGTCTGCATGATGGTTTGGTAAAGCAAAAGTGGACACAGAAGGCTTTACCTCTGCTTTATCTCTGGGGATTCATTCTTCTGTCTTGCTTATTGTGTAGAAAGATGCCTTGAGTACCATATTTAAAGACCATGTCCTCATGACATCCCCTGTCTGCTGCAGAAATAGCAGTTGTTCCACTGTTACAGTGGTGTTTTCTCCATTCTCCTGATAAAATCTTATGGTGCAGACAATCTGCTTGCCTTGATGATGTTATTGATGATAGTGCAGTCCAGAACTTGGGTCTGCTAAGCTTCTATTGACTACTTAAGATTGATGCAGCCACACATACTCACACCCGTCCTGTTGCTGGGCACTGCCCTCTGTGACCATTTTGGCTTCAATTGCAAGAGACTTTGGACACTTGGCTTCCAGAGAGGCATCTGCCCACGTAACCCCCAATGGCTGCTTTTTATGTATGTGGGTCTGCCAGTCTGCTGGAAGATTGGTAACCCTGGCTTTAGACATATGCTTAGCAGTCTTGTCAATGACTAATAGACTTGTGTGTATAAAAAAGAACTGCTGGTCAACTTAAACAAGGGAAGAGATGTGTCATTGATTATATCCCCAATAACCATATTACAGTTTTTTTGCTGGCCCTAACAAGTGCGGGATTTGCATGGTCATTCTTCTACCAGTTTTATTATTTTTTGGGGGGGGGTACCACAATCTGGGCTGCTGTAATGCAATTTTGCCTGTTCTGTGGGTGCTACCAGTTGCAAGCTCCATCTTTAATATGATTACTGCACTGTGAAAAAGTGAAAGAGCAAGTTCACTTTCTTCCGTGGGAATACTGATTTCCCAGAAGACTATTCCCAAGTTAAACAAACAAACACCACTAACAGTTGACTGATTGCTGGGATGTTGGAGAGGTGCAGGATGATGCAGAAGGGAGCTCCACTGATGTAGCTGTGAGCTCATCCCAACTGACAGGCTGTGATGTTTTTCCTCCCTCCCCCTCACCAAAAAATATGACCGTTGACACGAACATATCGTTCTCCAGAAGACTGATATCCCGTGTCAAGAAAACAAACAAAAAAAGCATATCTAGTCAGGGGCGCATATGAGGATTGCAGTGTGATGGGAAAGGGAGTGAGCTCTCTTCTGGTCGACCCTACCCCCTTCTATGACCACCAACCAACCTGTCAGCTGGAAGTGGATGAGCTGGCATCCAAAGACCAACAATCAAGGTTCACTTAGGCAACTTGAAAAGTGGTTAAACCCTCCATTTCAGGCACATGCTGGAGTTCCTCAACCTTGCGCCATCAGGCCACATGTTATGGAGAGCGATTGGTGATTGTTTTTCCCCTGGGCAGGGACACAGAATGGGACAGGAAAGGAAGCCAGGGAATCCACCAGTCACTGCCCTGCGGCTGCCCTGGGCAGCATCTCTCCCCAGCCTGGTTGCTCAGGCACAGCGAAGCTTACCTGTTGGCATACTTTTCTGCTGATTCAAGGATGGGAGGAATGCTGGTTAATGCAGCCAGGAAACCACGTCCTCAGTGTCCCAGGGCGCTGAGTTGTGCACCTCTAAGCAGATAACAAGAAGAAGCAAGATAACATAACAAGAAACAGAAGGAGAGAATGAGGGGAAGCCCATTTCTAGGGCGAGAGCAGCAGGGTCCACAGCAGATGTCCAAAGAGGTAAGATGGCAGACGCAAGGCCACGATGCAGCAGGGGTGTCTGCAGGAAGGGGTCAAAAAAGTGAAGTTGGTAACTGCAATGATGTGGTTGAAGGGGTAAAGGGATGGAGCTGGCCTTGTGGTACCATGTCTGCCATCTTGCCTCTTTTGACCAGTGGGGGGAACGTAACTGTGTGAGAGCCACCTTTGTTCTAGATTTCTGAAAGAGAAGGAGTGATACATTTCACATTATTGCTCGCATCTTAACTGTACTTCTTTGAAGTACAACCTCTTGGCATATTGGCAGAGCTAATTTTCAAGTAAATTTGCTTAGAAAGGCAGTCTTCTTTAATTTACAACTTATGGTTCAATTATAATTTGCACGCAGGTAACCATACGGTATCCTACATGAGGGGGATGAGCTCATGAGTGAATAGCTTGTTGAGGGGTTTCTCCCCTCTCTCCAGCACCAGCCCCATAGGGCGGCAGGGGTTCACGGAAGCTTAACTTTATGCTGTATTTTGCAGGAGAGCGTCTGGGTCCATCAATCCCCCCTCCGCATCTAAGGTCAATCTATCAGGTAAACCCTCTCACCTGTCTTTGGGTTGCTTTTTTCAAAATACTCTCTCTGAGGTAATGTGACCATTCTTGTGAGGTGGCCCATATTACAAACTGGAAAGCTCATAAGCTTATAAAAGCAAATCAGCTGATTTGGATCCAAGGTCTGCATCATTCAGCATCTGGATTTCAAGAGAGGCCAGTCAGATCTTTCCACAAAGCCTGCAAAAGAGATGCACAGGCCAGAGCTCATTCCTGTGGTTATTCCCAGTAACTGGCATTCAGAGCTAGACTACCTCTGACAATGGAAGCCTCATTCAGGCTTCAGGGCTTTACGACCATTAACAGACCTTTCCTGCTGAATTTGTCAAATTCTCCTCTCCTGTTAGCCATTGCCACATTTGGTGGCAAAGAGTTCCACAAGCTAAGCTTTGTGTAAAAAAGGGGGGTTTTTTGGGGGGGGGGTTAACTTGTTAAATTGGAGGACCTGTGGACGCCATTTTTTGTGAGATGTGAAGAAAAAACAACCCGGCCTCTATGTTCCTGCAGGATTTTATCAACCTCTCTCACGTCCCGCTTTAGTTGTTTCCTGTCCCCCGCCCCCCCCCCCCCCCCCCCCCCC